CAGTACATAAGCCTGTCATATGTTTCTGACATAATTTGCATGATGTCTAGACAGATTTCCACATGCTTTTCTAAAATTAGATCTCTTGTTCACCAGACATGTTTTCTCAAGTAGAGTTTTCTTATCACCTTCAAACTATCTCAAAATATTGCCCTAGCAATAATGTAAGAACTCAGCAGATGAGCACACACCTTTAACCCTGAGATGCCAACTAATCTACTTGCTTTTCTTTGTCCTCTTTTTCTTCTAGTCTTTCGTTTGCCAACTTCCTTTAATGTGTAAATTATATACATATGTGCATCGTTCTAAACACTCACCGAATGACGCTTGTTTGTGCCCACCTGGAGGCTATAAAATGAATGTAAACTTACTGGAAACCCATATTTGCTAGAGTATATATTTGAAAGGGATACTGGATGACTGGATTAAAAAAAAAAAATTTCTCAGGAAAAAATGTAGCGTTTGCTAGGACATTTAGATTGTACTAATCCAAAAACCTCTTCTATTTTGGAGGAAATGCTCTGTGCATAAAAATGTATTTATGGAGGGCTCAGAAAAGCAAGGGTGATGTCAGGACAACGCTCCATAGAAAGACGCTTTTGCAAATTGCAAAGTGTAAAGATCAGAAGCAGTGTGGTTACCGGAGCAGGCTAGCTTCACAATTGGTAATCAGCTTCAGGCCAGGGCTTGTGAACCAGTTTAGTCTGGTTCAGCCTCCTGCTGAGAATGTGCCTTTCCCAACAGCCCTCCTCAATCAGAATCTATATTTTGCCGGGGGAGTCTTACGTAGTTCTAAGAGGTGAAGCCCTGCTTCAGACCAGTGTACAAAGACTGCGATGATGGCTGAAAAGCAGCAAATGGAGATGGTAAGGGGAGTCTGAAGGGCCGCTGCTCTAAATTTAAGGGGAAACATGGAGTGTTTAGAGTTGGCCAGGCTGTTCTTTAGCGTGCGTCACAATCAGCTGAAATCCTTATTTAAAGATCCCTGGTCAGGATCTGGAGTCCCTGGGAGGTGCAAAGGGTTGCCATGCTCGGCTGCTAACCAAGAGGTTGGAGTTTGAGTCTACCCAGAAGACAAGGGTGGCACTCTTCTGATGGAAGCAGCCGTGGTTATCCTGTGGGTCACAGTCTAGTCTGGCACATGGGACCACCATGAGTGGGAGTTGACTTCCTCAGGCTTTTTTTTTCCCCACCCGATGGGTGGAGAGTACAGGTGTCTGCATTTTAGGAGTCTGGGATTCCTGGGCACTCTTGAGTCTCACTGCTTCAGGACGGTGAAATGAGGTGATCCTAGACAGCAGTAGCACCTTGCAGTGAAAACAGTGACATAAGTACAAAGATGAGAGATTGAGTGAAGTTACATATGTCCTAGGCCAGGTTGCAGTTCTCTGATTTTGAGGGCTTGGGGAAGACCATGTGGACTATATAAGGAGGGAAGGAGGCTATGTTTTCCCACATACTGGCCCTACTCAAAATATCTCAAGGTGCCCTGTGGAGTAAAGAGGGGTTTGAGTTTACATTCTTGGGTGGTGGCTCCCCTACAGGGGTTAGTGAGTGATCATTGGGAAGAGCATCAAAAGGGATTCTTCCCCTTCATGCTCCTCAACTTCTTGGCCAGTGGGTGTCCATTCTGGATGTCCATTCTCCAAAGACGTGGCACACGTGTGTCTGCACATGGTCTCGCTGCTTCCTCACCTTTAAGTAGGTTTCTCCTCTCACTTCATACAGGAACTGGCACTCGGTTCTCTTCAAGATGGCGATTGTGGAGCCGCTCACATGAATCCTCAGGGCTGAAAAGCAAACAGACGGATAACAATCTGGGCCAGTTTGGCGTCTGTTAGAGCGCCACATTTCTTTCTCCTGAATTTGACTTCAGTGGCCCAAACCAGAACCAAACTCACTGTCATGGAGTTGATTCAAAGGCATAGCCACCCTATGGGACAGGAGAGAGCTGCCCCTCTAAGTTTCTGAGACTCTTTTTCTGTTTTTTAATAATTGGGAGTTAATACATAAATCACTTCATAGTTCCATCGTGTCAAGCAGTATTGTACAATTTGTATTACAGTCCATTTTGAGACTACCTCTTTACACGAGTAGAAAGCTTCGCCTTTCAATGGGTGCATAAGCAAGTGTGGTGAAGAAAGCTGATGGTGTTCATCTACCAAAAGATATGGCACCTGAAGCCTTAAATACCTGAAGATAAACAAGCACCATCTAGCTGAGAGACAACAAAACCCACATGGAAGAAGCACACCAGCCTACCCCTACTCGATC